ATTATAAATATATATATATATTTATAATATATTATAAATATAGAAATATATCAGAATACATTGCACAGTTATCTATACTATCAAAGCTTTATATTTTGCTTATTAGAATTATCATTTTTCATAAATCTATGTCATTTCTCAATAAGGTTCATTAGAATTGTGGATAAAATATCATTTTAATCTATCAGTTAATAAGATGCCATAAAGGAAGGGAAACAGCATTCTCTGTTGGCCTCACCAATAACATTTGCATGGTGAATCACTGAGAAGGAAAGCATCAAAATATACAACATGTGAGGGACAGAAGCCCAGCAAATGTCCTATGGGCAGAACAATCAAAAACTATAAAGAAAAGGGCTAAAGTTGTAGGGGAAGTGGGTAGGGGAGGGGAAAGGAAATAAGAGAAAAGAAAAAAGTATGAGAAAATGAAAAGGTGGAAATAAAGTTTCTGTACATAGGGGGGTGAAGGGAGGGCAGGGGTATGGGGAAAAAATGAGAACCAAGACCTGTCATGTAAAGGAACAAGATCCCAATGATGAATTTAACTTACTGTATACCTAAAATGTACCAATAAACTCAATGAGGAAGAAAACAACACTCATGTGTTCAAAATCTATGAAGCATCCACAGTGAGCTGACATTTAAGTACCCGAGAAAGTGATAGACCTTAAAAGGTAATTTGCCACACCAGAAATGAGTGCATCCGTGCAATGTAATAGGCATGGTTAATGCCTGTCATTTGTTGTTTCTGAGCTATGGCCATTTTTGTGTATTTTTTAACGGATATAAGGGGTTTCAAAGTTTTAATGGGTTAGATAACACAGGTTTTTCAATTATACTCTTAAGAATTTTAATTTTAGGGGCCAGGGATTTAGCTCAGTGGTTCGGTGGCCTGCCTTGCAAGTGCAAGGACCCGAGTTCAATTCCCGGTACCAAAAAAAAAAAATAATAATAATTTTAGAAACATTCTTTTAAATTAAGCACCTTTGCAAAATACAAGGACTCAATCTGACATTGCATAGTCTAGGAAACTGTCATGCCTTCATCAATATTCATATAGTTACTTGGGAAATATTCTGCAAATTTGCAACTATTTAAATCCAGTAGTCATTTAATATTGAGTGGAACTGAAATTGCAAA